TCCACATGAATATATCTCTGCTTGGATACATCAAGAATAATCTTCATATAGATGAAGTATCGGATCATCATGGTCGACAAAATACATAATGATGTATAAAACCGATAGACAGAAACAAAGTATGGTGGATAACTGAACTAACAAAATAGTTTTGTACTGGGAGCTATATAAAGTTTTCAATCATGTATGTATATGACATATTATGGAATAGAAACACTATAAAGTTCCTAAAGCACATAACAAAAAATGATTTTGAAACGCTTTTTCCATCAAAAGTAAAGCAAAAAAAATTGGGCATGAAAGAATCTAAGAAGATAGATGAAGGCGTCTGGTTAAGCTAAAACAAAGTTTTTATATTTTTTGACAAAATTTTAAAAGAGTTTTAAAATAGAGAAAATTGTTTTCTATAAAATGTCTTATAACTTGATGCTTATGAATGATAAGCTTGGAAGATAAAATTATCTTGATAAGTTATGATATATATAATGGCCAAAGTATAATTACTAAAAGTTAGTAAATAAAATATCAAGGAACTCAAAAGAATAAAATGTTTATTCTGAGGTATTGAAGTTAAATTCATTATTAAGAATATATGAATATCAAACTTCATAGCTGTTATGATTGGGCTATAATAATTCAGAATTATTTATGAACAAATTTGTTGAATCTATAAACGATAAGGATATACGTCTTGAAAACATGAGATGTTTCAATTTTAGCCGAATAAAGAAATGTCTTGATATAATTGTTTTGTTTGAATAAATATTGTAAGAGTTGTAAGTGACCCATAAAGGTTATGCAAGAAGAATCTTCATAAAATGGGTTAATCCAAGATATGATCAAGAAGAGTCTTGACGTGAGATTATTATGATCATAAATCTAATAATATTTTATTTTGAATAAAATATTATGGCTGAAAAACTATATGGATTAAGGTCTAGAAATCAGACAATACTAGGACAAATATCACAAAGTTTTTGAGTGTGTCAAACTAATGACAAAGGCTCTACCACATGCAATGCATTAATAACACAAGATAGGTTGTTAAGTGTTATTCAACTAGATTATTGACTCTAGTGCAAGTGGGAGACTGTTGAAAATATGCCCTAGAGGTAATAATATTGTAGTATTATATTTCAATTATTCATAATTAAGAGTTACTTGCAAATCACCTAATACATGCACAAACAATCAAATAACTTGTACCCAACGCGATAAAGGGGTTGTCAATCTCTTCACGGTTACTTGCAAAAGTGAGATCTGATAGAGATAGATAAACGATAAAGTAAATATTTTTGGTATTTTTGGCTTATATATCGGAAAGTAAAAGATTGCAGAAACACTAGATCGGAAACTAAAATTGTAGACCGGAAACTTGTATGATGGAAAATAGACCCAGGGGCCATATGTTTCACTAGAGGCTTCTCTCATGATAGCAAATAATATGATGGGTGAACAAATTACTGCCGAACAATTGATAGAAAAGCGCAAAGTTATGACGATTTCTAAGGCAATGATCATGAATATAGGCATCACGTCCATGTCAAGTAGACTGACACGATTCTGCATCTACTACTATTACTCCACACATCGACCGACTCTTGCCTGCGTTAGAGTATTAAGTTCATGAAAAACAGAGTAACACATTAAGTAAGATGAAATGATGTAGAGGAATTAACTCAAGCAATATGATGAAAATCCAATAAGAAATACTCTAAAATGTGTGTGTGTTGAAAAAAATGTTCATAATTTCGAAAATGTTCCTGTTTTAAAAAATTGTTCGCAAATTCGAAAGAATGTTCTCTTCTTGAAAACAACTGTTTGTAATCTAGAATTTTTTCGCATTTTCAATTTTTGTTCCAGTTTTTTAACAAAATGTTTCCATTTTCAATTTTTTTCGTAGTTTTGAAAACAGGAACATAAGGACTGATGTCGTGTGTTCGTAGTTTTTGTCCAACATTGTCTTCCAACAGGGCCGATGCGTCATGTTGCTAAGAGCGCTCGGTACATTGCGCAGCGAACCTATAAAAGCGAAAAAAAACAGCAAAAAAGGTGTCCCTCCTAGGATTAAATCTCAAGCCACTGCCGTCCTATATGAGTGTGCCTAACCACTAAAACTAGACACCAATAGTGAATAAAAAAGGCAGCAATTTTATAAGTAAATGTGTCTGCGTTATTTATTGCATGTGTACTGTATCACTTAATTTTCTGAATTATTTAAAAAAATCATGAATTCGAGTAAGTTCATCATATTGGAAGAAAAGTTCACAAAACTAAAAAAAGTTCATTGATTTTGAAAAAGTTTATCAAATTTGAAATAGGTTCATCGAATTTGGAAGAAAAAAGTTCATCCAATTTTATACAAAGTTCATTGAATTTAAAAAGGTTCATAAAATTTGAAAAAACTTCATCGATTTTTTAACAAGTTCATTGATTTGAAAAAAGGTTTATAAATTTGGAAAAAAATTCATCAATTTGAAAAAAGGTTCATCATTTTTAAAAATAGTTCATCAATTTTAAATAAAGTTCACAAATTGGAAAAAAAGTTCACGCACTTAGCAGAAAAGAAGAAACAAAAAAACCCGACAAAACCGTTTCCAAGAAAAAAGAAAAAAAGAAAAAGAATAAGAAAAAAAGGTGACAAAGCACTAAGTAAGCATGAACATGTGAGGTAGCCGACTGGTTAGGGCAGCGCGCATATGTTTTATTTTTTGCGTTTTAAAAATAGAAAAGAAAATTAAAATGGGCCGCCCCGGTGCGGTGGGAGTGTGTGCACCCGATTGCATAAATGCCTAAAATGGGCGCTCAAGGCGCCGTTTAGGATTCGCCGTGTTCTATTCCCATATATGCCGCTAGTTTTTGTTGATTTTCGGGGCGAGATGGGCCGGCCCATGTGAGCTGTCCCTGTATGAATTGCCGCCAGACTGCCTGCCTATAGGAGATCCCTTGGTAGACTCTTTGCCGCAGCGAGTGGCAAATAGGAGGTCCTTGTTATGTGTATAAGGCTGAAAGTTATACAGTCTGACATTGCAGGCCAGTGTAGTGCGAGGGGCTCTGTCTCCCTTATAGCGTGATGAAGCATTTCCTGCATCAGGTGCGCCCCCTAAATCGGCAAGGCTCATCGCAGGAGGAGCGATGTGTCTCTAGCACTCGTTTCCCCATTTTATTTCCTTTCAATTACTGTTAGTTATATTTCAGAAAGGAAAAAATTACATATATTTAAAAGTAAGTTCACCGTGTGTTTAAATTATTTTAGTGCTTTGTTATATAAATTTTGTTGTACATTTGAAAAAACATTTGATGATAACATTAAGAAAAATGTCCGTGACATGTAAAAAAAATTCGTGGTTAAAAACAGGCACCTGACGTTTAAAAAATATACAATGTTAAAAAAATTAAGATAGCTTAAAAACAGATGTTTTGTAGCATTTGAACCAAATGTGTGTGTGTGAAATTAAAAAAATGTTCATATGTTTTGGAAAATGTGTACGTGGCATTTTTAGGAAATGTAAAAAATGTTCACGTAGCTGAAAAAAATGTGTTATATCATTAAAAAATGTTCAACGTGAATTTAGAAAAAATATTAAACACATATTTACAGAATTTTCAAAAACGTATATTTGGGAAAGAAATGACTAATTTACAATAAAACATGTATAAAATTGTTCCTGATGTCTAAAATAATGTACAATATGTATATTTAAAAATAGGTTCACCGTGCGCTCAAACAAATGTTAGTACTGTGTTAAATAAATGTTTGTTCAGAATTTGAAAAATGATGATAACATTAATAAAATGTTCGTGACATCCAAAAAAGTGCTAGTGTTTAAAAAACATGTAACTGACATTTTAAATAATTAACAATTTAAAAACATTCAGTTAACTAAAAAAAGGTTTCGTTGCATTCAAAATTATGTGACATTAAAAATTGTTCATATGTTTCAAGAAATGTGTTCGTGGCATTTTTATGCAAATTTTAAACAGTTCACATTGCTGAAAAATGTGTCATATCTTCCAAAAAAAGGTGCAACGTGTACTTGAAAAACTGTTGAAAATATATTCAAAAAGATGTGCAAAAGCATATATTTTTAACTATATTACTTTATGAGAAAACATGTATAAAAATGTTATTGATCTATACAGAAATATACAATGTGTGTGAAAGAAATATAGACATCCAAATATACATTTGAAAAAAAATATGTATTGAAAAGTGTTAATCATGTATAAAAATATTGTTTTCTATTTAAAAAAGTACAATGTATATAAAAAGTATACATGTATTGGAAAAATCCAAACAAAACCAGTAAGGAAACACAAAAATATGAAACAGCAATAAAACAAACACAGAAGACCGTCCAAAACCAACACCAAAAATCAAAAAAGGAAAGCAAAATGAGAAAATAAAGAAAAACAGAAAAAGGAAAACCCGACGAAAGATACTTCGAAAATCGGCTCGAACCAGTCTATAGAACCTTTCTAAAACCGTTTAATGGCAGGCACACTCAAATAGAATGAGGCCCTTGCATCAGAGGTGGGGCTATTGTAGCTCTGGGAATAGGCGAAAAGTAGCCCTAGCAGAGTGCAGCATCCAGTCGTATCACACTGTTCAATTTTTTTTTTTGAAAGGGACATAGATGTAGTCCATTAAACTGGTGTATTGAACATATCATTAGCACAGATGTTTAGTATAAACTGTGTAGATGGTCAACTCACACCTCACAACCGTCATCCCCTAACAGAGCGCTACGCACAGCTAGTTCATGAGCTACTACATTACTTGATCTTGGTACAATAGATATTCTGAAATTTTGAAAACTTGCCACACAACATGACTCTTATTTTTCTCTAAATAAAGCACCTAGCGGCGAGATGTTCTTCTGCAAATCAAACAACAAAAGAACTCTGCTACACAGCTGACGAGTTCTGGACGATTTTCACACCATGCAGCGCATCAAGCAGTTCATGTGTGTAGAGCAAAAGTGAATATCACTGTTCAACTAGAAGTCGTTGCCATCGCTGGGAAGCTGCTGGTGGCCGGGCCGGACCATGAACAATCCCTCGTATACTAGCCCCGCGAGCGGCCCACCAATCATCGGCCCAACCCAATAGACCCACTGACTGGCCCAATTCGCTGAGGCGAGCGCGGGCCCGAATGAACGTGCCGGGTTCATAGACGCGCCGGAGAACGGCCCTCCGGCGAGCACGTTGGCGCCGACGACGAAGCCCACCAGTAGCGGGCCCAGGTTGCCGATGCTCCGTCGCGGATCCACGACGGTCGCGTACACCGTGAAGAGCAGCGAGAAGGTGAGCACGGCCTCCCAGAGCACCCCCTGCGGCGCGCCAACCCCGGCGGCCAGCGCGTGCACTGGCATGGTCACCGCGCCGCCGGTGAGGAAGGCGAGGAGGAGGCAGGCGAGGGAGGAGCCGAGCAGCTGCGCGAGCACGTAGAGCGCGGAGCGGAAGAGGGTGATGTGGCCGCCTGCGGCGAGGGAGAGCGCGCGTGACGGCTGGGTTGATGTGGCCGCCGGAGACGTGAAGCCCTGCCGACACCATGACGGCCACCACCATCGCGTGGGCCAGCGCGACCGCCGTCAGGCCCATGATCGTGTCGGCGCCGCCGGCCAGCCTCCCTGCATACACATAACACATGTACATGTAGATCCGGACTCTCGGTACACATGCATGCATGGACGCGTTTCCAACCATCACTGCACTACATACGTACCGGCGGCCATGGTGGAGCCGACGCCGGAGAAGACGAACAGGAAGGTGAGCACAGCCTCGGCGAGCACGGCGCGGACGCAGCCGGCGTCGGTGGCCTCGCTGTGGTGCCCGAGAGCAAACTTCGCCATGTGTACGCTACGTCGCCTCGGTGGCCTCGCTGCTCTGTCGTGGCGAGATGATCACGCACACGCCGAGAGACCGACCCGAGTTATGAGTAGTCTGCTGGAAGCTGGAGTGCAGGAGGAAGCTATATAGTAGGCAGTGCGTGTGCGCAGGATAGGACAAGGATGCGGGAAATGGTGGAATTGCTGATGCGTGCGTAGTAACGGAGGACGGTTAGCAGATGGGTCTCACGCCAGAGGCACCGCCGCCTTCACTGCACTGCACACGCTCAACTTCAGAAAAATCTTGGATGGAAAAGCAAATCTCCACGTACTATACATGCTAGGCACCAAGCTGAAAACTGGAAGCAATGTGTTTCTCCAGGACACGCAAAATTAAATCTTTTGTACGGCCAACCCTGGTAGATGATGAATACAACATCATTTTTATTTTGCGGGGATACACGATGAATACATTGATGACCCGTGAATACGTGATGAATACATACTTTTTATTCAGAATGTAGTCAGCGATCCTGCACTAGAAACTGGACGACAGGCAGCAAGATGATAGACATTTCGCTGCGGTGCGGCAGCATGCAAAGTGGACTTGATCCTAATCACAGGTACAACACCTAATAACATGGCATAACTGAGAATAACAAGGACATTCAGTGTGGTCGCGTTCGATCAGACGGCAGGCAGCATCACAAGCAACCAAGCTCTAGGTGTAGGAGCACGTCATTCAATGAACAATCCGACTCACTCTGAGTTTACACTTGGTAGTCAATTGACTAAGTTTTTTACCGGAGCGGGT